TGCTGCTACGTTATAATTGCGACGTCAATCTCCAAGATTCGCGTGGCTACACAGCACTGCACGACGCGATTACGTAAAACGCGCTGGACATAATCGACGCGATATTCGAATGCGAGAGAGTCGACTTCACGCTGAGGAATCAATGGGACTCCAATATCCAATAATTAAATGTGAAATATGTTCATACAGATTCATATAGGTTTCTTTTCTTTGTAAAATTATTGTTTGATACAAGAAAAATGATAATAATAAAAATAAAACAAAAAATAATTTAAAAAATAATTTTTGTATTGTCCTTTTTTACAAAAAATCAAGTTTTAAGAAATGAGAAAAAATTGTTCATATATAATTATATATGTATATTTTTAATTATTTATATATATGATTATATATGAGCAATTTTTCTCATTTTTTCAAACTTAATTTTTTGTTAAAAAAAACAATGTAAAACTTATCTTTTTAATTATTTTTTATGTTTCCTTCTTATTATCATTATTTGTATTAAAGAATAATTTTATAATAGAAAGAAACATGCATGAATATATGTATATAGACATATTTTGCATATAATTATGTACAATTATATATTTTTATACATATATGTTCTAAATGAAAACTTTTTTCCCGGGATGTTACAGTAGATACAACAACAATTTCTAATTTACCCAATTGCTGCGCAATGCAAGGGTGTGTTTCCTTGTACGTTGATCATATGCAAAGAAGCACCAGCATCCAAAAGGAGGATGCAGAGCTCTCGCTGGCTTTTCAGAGTAGCCACATGCAGAGCACTAAATCCGTAATTGTCAACGACACCAACGGAGGCTCCTCGCGATAACAGCAGATCCGTGATCTCCGACTGATTGCTGTTTAAGTAAACAAGAGAGTATCAATGTTAGTTTGATGTTATGGCTGATCCAGCATCAATGTCCAACTTACCCGAGTGCCGCGCAATGCAAGGGCGTATCTCCGGCCCCATCGACCACATGCAAAGAAGCACCAGCATCCAAAAGGAGGGTGCAGTGCTCGCGGGGACCATTCAGCGCGGCCACATGCAGAGCACTACGTCTGTCGTTGTTGACGGCATTAACGGCTGCACCGCGCGATAACAGTAGATCCGTTATCTCCGGCCGTTTACTGTTTAATCAAACGAGAGAGTATTGATGTTAGTTTGACATCACGACATATCCAGGAGCGACTTTCAACTTACCTAAGTGCTGCGAAATGCAAGGGCGTGTTACCGTTCTTGTCGACCACATGCAATGAAGCACCAGCGTCCAAAAGGAGGGTGCAGATCTCGCGCTGACCTTTAAACGCGGCCTCATGCAGAGCATTACATTTGTCGTTATTGACAGCATCGACGGCTGCACCTCGCGATAACAGTAGATCCGTTATCTCCGGTCGATTACTGTTTAATCAAACGAGAGAATACCAATATTAGTTAATGTAAAATCCAGCAACGACTTTCAATTTACCCAAATACCGTGTAATGCAAGGGTGTGTTTCCGTCCTCGTCGACCACATGCAAAGAAGCACCAGCGTCCAGAAGAAGGGTGCAGAGTTCGCGCTGATCTTTCTTCACGGCCATATGCAGACACGTGATTCTGACACTGCCACTGAGAATGCTCGCGTCTAGAGTGATGTCAGGGTAGTTCTTCAGGAATTCCTTCGCAGCATCTCCCGCGCGTCTAGCTATTGCATCCATCAGCCGTTCCGCCCCTTCGGCTACATCGCAAGAACAAATTAATGGTCTTGTTTTATACGTAGCGACAGTCAGTGGCACAAGAGCGTGTTATTCATAATTCTGTTAATAGATGTCGTATAAGTAAAATTTTTATATGTTAATATTAGCAATACATTAGGCTAAAATACTTTGAAAGTTAGATTTCAGGTCGGTTTAATTATTATGTTATAACTGGATAAAACACAATAAATACAGGGTACATAAAATGGCATTTTTGCAAAACACTGATTTTCACAATCTCTTCATGTTAACGCGATTAAAAATAGATTTCTATAAAAATCTAAATGAAGAAAAAGCGTGTCTTCACTCTAAAAAAATTATTGTAAAAAGTATGCCTCGATATTTCCAAGCCTTAATTGACAATGGAGGGAACTAGATGATGTATTAAATAAATGCATCGAAGCATATATAATATACTTCAAAATCATATAATTATTCTTCAAAAATCTGTTCTTTCTCAAGAGAAACAGATAACACGCTCTTGTGCTACTGATTGATAAAATCAATCTTCTTTTCGCAAAATAAGAAAAATATTTATGCCTCGTATTATGCAAACGCATAAAATAAATTAGCAATAAGGACCAAGAATTAAATAATTTATTAAAGGTTGTTAAAAAGTAATTTATTCAATGTACGAGTACAAAATTAAACGACTAGATGTTTTGATTTCATAGAATTCTGCTCATTAGTAAAAAAATAAAATAAAATTACATGTAAGTTATTAGTTTACAATTTAAGAGAAATTAAGTTAAAAGGATAAAGCGTTATCAAATATAGATCATTAAAAAACAAGCATTCGGCGTAGAGGCAATATCGAGGCTATACACACTTAATTGAATGTCTCCGTTATATAAAGTTTATTTTAAAAATAATAAATAGTAAGAAATAAAACATAGTAAATAATAAAAAATAAAAAATAATGAATAACGGGTATTAAGCATCCAATTATATCTAATTATACATGAAAGTTAGTTTTAAAACGTATTAAATTTGAAAATAAATATAATATGTAGTCAGTTTGACAAAATTAATTGATTCTTCGTTACAGCGAGTATATAATATTAAGTCCAAAGCAGTACGAAATTATCATTACAGGATTGTCAAATGATCATAAAGTCAGCGAATGGAAATATAAGTATGGAAATCGATACAGTGTCAAATTTTAAAACAAACTATTATAACAATATAACTTTGCTATATTAATATAATTTATAATCATTTGTTTTAAAATATGATACTGTATCGATTTCATCTTATTTATATTTTTTTTCGATAACTTTATAATCATTTAATAATTTCGTACCAACAATTAATTTCGCTTTATATTTAATAAATTACTCATTGTTGATCTTCCTTTATTTGTTTTTTTCTTTTGGCAATATTAATTTTCGACAATATTCTATCTCGCACTTTGCCGAAGCCAGAAATAACTGAAAGTGGCGAGAGTTTATCCTCATTTAGTTTTTTGTTTTTGTTTTTTATTATCTTTTTATATTTTTTACGTTTTTAATTTTTTTACATTTTTTTACAAATGTTTCTTATGTTCTTTACAGTTACCTCACTTCTTATCTATATTTATTTTTTTTGTATGTACTCTGCAGAAATGATATTTAAAAAAAAATTCTTTTATGCACAAAGATTTTGCACAGCAAGCACATTTTATTACTGCTGCATTATTACATAATGCGTTGATAATTTCATAATTTTTGAAACAATAATCTATGGAATTATCAAAATCAAGTAGTTTCTTTTGCAAATATCCACTTTTATTTAAACAAATTTATAAATCAAAGAGAAGACAACTGATTATGAACAAGTGATTGAAGTTTAATAACGTTATTTCGTAAATGTAAGTTTACATCGTAATTATACAAAATAACAATATTTGAAAAAGTTTAATAAAATTTTTTTTTTATTCAACCTCTCGATGTTTTCGGCTTCAGAATGTGGAAAAATTTTATTATACGTTTTTTAAATATTATTATTTTGTAATTATTTTGTATAATTACAATGTAAACTTACATTTGAAATAGCGTTATTAAAGTTTAATTGCTTGTTCATAATTAGTTATTTTCTCTTCGATATATAAATTTGTTTAAATATTCGTAGTATCAAAGTGGATATTTGCAAGAAAAACCATTTGATTTTGATAATTCCAGATTACTATCTTAAAAATTGCGAATATCATTTCTGCAAAGAGTACGTACAATAAAATGAAAAAATAAATATATAGGTGAGAAGTGACATAATTGTAAAGAAAAAAAAGAAAAACTTGTAAAAAATATATAAAAATTATACAAACGTAAAAAATAATAAAAAACAAAAAAACTAAATAGGTCTCTCGCCACCTCCTCGTCAGTTATTCCTGGGTTCGGCAAGGAGCGAGAAAAAGTAGCTCTAATACAATGAGCTAAAATGCAAAAAATTACTTGTGCTTATCATATAAGGGGTAGTTTGCATTCTTAAACCTGCACCATTGCCGATATAAAAAAAAAATATGCGTCTATTATTTTTGACTACTCTATAAATGTATCAAGTTTATGTACCATGTTTCATTAAATTCCGCGAGTTACGGAAAGATAAAGTTTGTCAGCCGACAATTTAATTATACTTATTAAATTGCTAGCTACGTTAAAAAAAGTATGTTTACAACTGCTATACACCACATTTGTATTTTACAGTTAAGTTTTATACAAAAAAGATTATTTGCATAGAAAAAATTTGATTTTATTATAAAAATAATCAAAAATAGTTAAAAAAATCCCATTTGATTTTTTAATTTAAAATGATACTCAAAATTAAAAAATAATGAAGTTGTAGAGTTATTCTGATTTCTTGTCCTCATTCGAGATTTTGTACATATGTATACATATAAGGAGCATAACGAATAGGGACAAAGAATCAAAATAAGTTTAAAAAATTTCATTTTTTTTAACTTTTAGTATAGAGAAGGTAACCACTCAGAAAATATATGTACACCTGGACTTCTGACTTCAAGACTTTATCAGACTTCACAGACTTTATCAGACTATACCCGAATTCGTCGGACTACACCGGAATTCATCAGAATTCATCGAATTTCATCGGACTTCAAGGAATTCAATAGAATTCTGACAGGTTGTATACCGGAATTCAAGAGGGTAACCCTCGCTTTCAGTAATATTTTAAACTACAAAAATTATTTTTGAATTTGATTTTAAAAAATAAACACATTTGTATTTTACAAACACAATTTTTCAATATAAATACATTTTAACATACATATAAACATTATTTTAACTCTCTAAAAATTGCCACCATTTAATATGTAAAATTAATATCTTTTTTTAAAGGTCCACTAGAAAATTATTTTTTATTAAGTGGTTCAAAAGTTTACCCTAGAATTTTATCAAAAATAAAATAATGTAAAAGTTATGATTTTTTTCACAAAAAATGATTTTTTTTTAAACTTATCTTTTTACGAATTTTTTTCAATATGATGCCACTTTAATTCTGAAACTTATGCAATCAAAATATACTCTACATTCAAATCTTATCTAACAATAAGAATTTTTGCGATCCAATTAAATTGTTAGCTTTTAAACGACAGCTGTTTAAAATTGTTCTAGGCAAATTGACCCCATTTGATAAACTTGATCGAAAAAGGTGTGATAACCGAAAATTAATCAATTTGACGTTTAAATACAATATATTTTATTTAACAAATCCATGTATATAAAAAAAATAAACATACTCGAACGATCCTTACTACCATTCGTATTATCATGCGCGGCAGCCATAGCGTTCGTCCTAGAAGATAAAGGAATGATCATATATATAATACATCATTAGCTGGCGCGGTGGCGTAGTCCCGTAGTCAAGAGCAAAGCTGCGTTCGATAAATGCATTATCATCATTTTATTATTGTCATTTCATTTTTATTTTTCTATCCCTATTTTCTATCTCTAAACACTCAAAGACAGAATGATAACACCGATAACAAATACCTGGAACGTAGCCTATAGCTATTAAAAAACATGATTCTTTATAAAAACTTACGTTCATGGTTGACGAGCATTGTGATTTGAAGCGAGATAAATTGTTGGAGTGAATAAAAAGAAATGAATTATTGTAAGTGAAAAAAGAGTATAAGTGTGAAAAAAGAACAGATAAGACGAGAGAGTGAGGAAAAGGGTCAAAGAAGCAAAAGTATATATAAAAATAATATAGAAAGAATATTCGCGATAGATTAGATTATATAAGATAGGAAAATAGACATATGTATGGTTGTGAATACACAAGATAGACATGTAGAATTTTTATATTAAAAGTGGAGATGAAACTTCACTGAAGCACACGTGTGGTAACGTTTTATTCAGTTTAAATTTATTTTAATTCCGCAGACAAGTTAGAGGCACTCGCGGTCTTTGAAAATAAAAAAAAAACAGATTGTAAGAATAGAACAAAAATAATAATAATAATAATAATACAATAAAGATTGGTGTACAAAGACTTATCTTGTTTTGTTACTTGCTCGCATGCAGCTGCCTCGCTTGCATTTTGCTACACACATACACACCTTCGGCACTCACTCTATCGCTCGCTCTAACACGTGTGCACACCGCGACGGTCGCTCAAGAAAAGGTATGATGCCACTTGTAGTTGCCAAGTCCTGCCACAGCAGCACCAATGAAATATATATCTATACGCATGTATATAATATCTCACTGAGCAGCACCAATCGCTGTCAATTTCAGTGTAGCCAATCATTACAAAAATGATTACACAAAGTAGCATATTTGAATAAAATATGTGAAAAAAAAAAAAACGATAGAATTTTTTGAAAGAATATTCTTAATACGTTTAAAGAATATGACGGGAAATAAGAAAGG